AGGTCTGGATCTCAACAGTTTTGGGGGAGAGGGGCTTATTTGGGACGTCAGTGATGATGACCTCTGTGCTCGTCTCCTCCTGCAGTGTATCCACAGAGACCTCGCCGCCCGGAACGTGTTGGTGACCGAGGAAAACGTGATGAAGATCGCCGACTTCGGCCTCGCTCGAGACATCCACCACATCGACTACTACAAGAAGACCACCAACGTGAGGCTCTGAGCCGTCAGAAGGTCGACCACACGTTCAGTGACAGCCCTCTCACTCAGACTCTCTCTCTTCCTGCAGGGTCGTCTGCCCGTCAAGTGGATGGCTCCTGAAGCTCTGTTTGACCGAGTCTACACACACCAGAGCGACGTGTGAGTACACCTGAAGAGAGACCTGATTTCTCTGTTTGATCCATCTTTAGTCCAGCATGTCGGACGTGATGCTGTTCAGACACATCTTCACCTCTGGCTGCGTTCACACTCACAGACTTCAGATCAGCACACTTAACCCTCAGTGACTTCAGAGGGTAGTAAATTAAACTGATGCCTAAGGACAAAAATGTCCACTTCCAAAAAACTGATATATAAATAGAACAGATTGATATTTTTTTCTACTTTTTTCCTCATAAATCTCTTAAACAACTTCAGCCCTGCTCAAAACTACCAAACATTCAATCATTTTTAGGAATTTAACCCTTTAAATGCCAGTTTCATTACATGATTCTGGCATTTAAAGGGTTAAATTCCTGGTAATTCTTCAATATTTGATCGTTTTGAGCAGGGCTGAAGTTGTTTCAGAGATTTATGAGGAAAAAAGTAGAAAAAAATATCAATCTGTTCTATTTATATATCAGTTTTTTGGAAGTGGACATTTTGAGGGTCGTAAACATGTTTCAGTGTTCTATTGATCTATTAAAGAAAATAAAATGTGCATTCTAAAATGTGTCAAGAGAGACTTTGACAGACGAAATGATGACCAGATGAAGAGGAAACATTTGTCCAAATGGACAGAAATGTCCATAGTGAGTCATGAGGGTTAATATGTGTCCCGTCCAGAATGAACTGGTCCCGGTCCTGCTCTGACCCACATGAGTCACATGTGAGCCGAGAGCTGTGATTGGGCCCTGCCTAACAAAGGATGTAACATGTGTATTCTCTTCTGAAGTCTGTCCTGTGTTGCTCCTGCAGGTGGTCTTTTGGAGTCCTGTTGTGGGAGATCTTCACCCTGGGGGGGTCTCCGTACCCCGGCGTCCCCGTGGAGGAGCTCTTCAAGCTGCTGAAGGAGGGACACCGCATGGAGAAGCCGTCTGCATGCACACAGGAGATGTGAGTGTTCAGATCATCAGAGGTAGGAGATGTTACCCCCCTCAGTCTGACTCACTGTCGCTGTGTCGTCCCCCCCCTCAGGTATCTGATGATGAGAGACTGCTGGCACGCCGTCCCGTCCCGCAGGCCCACCTTCCTGCAGCTGGTGGAAGATTTAGACCGGACGCTTTCTCTCATGGCCAACCAGGTGACGAGTCGTTCAGACGACTTTCAACTACTTCTTTAAACGTTTTGATTTTTAAAAGAGCGAGTTAACGCTGCACGACCATAATAAGACTTTAAGCCCCCGTGTTTCTGTGGTTGTGACCTCATCGTGTTTCTGTGGTTGTGACCTCATTGTGTTTCTGTGGTTGTGACCTCATAGTGTTTCTGTGGTTGTGACCTCATAGTGTTTCTGTGGTTGTGACCTCATAGTGTTTCTGTGGTTGTGACCTCATAGTGTTTCTGTGGTTGTGACCTCATAGTGTTTCTGTGGTTGTGACCTCATCGTGTTTCTGTGGTTGTGACCTCATTGTGTTTCTGTGGTTGTGACCTCATAGTGTTTCTGTGGTTGTGACCTCATAGTGTTTCTGTGGTTGTGACCTCAGTGTTTCTGTGGTTGTGACCTCATAGTGTTTCTGTGGTTGTGACCTCATCGTGTTTCTGTGGTTGTGACCTCATTGTGTTTCTGTGGTTGTGACCTCATCGTGTTTCTGTGGTTGTGACCTCATTGTGTTTCTGTGGTTGTGACCTCATAGTGTTTCTGTGGTTGTGACCTCATAGTGTTTCTGTGGTTGTGACCTCATAGTGTTTCTGTGGTTGTGACCTCATAGTGTTTCTGTGGTTGTGACCTCATAGTGTTTCTGTGGTTGTGACCTCATAGTGTTTCTGTGGTTGTGACCTCATTGTGTTTCTGTGGTTGTGACCTCATTGTGTTTCTGTGGTTGTGACCTCATCGTGACCTTTCTGTTTGTGTCTCTGCAGGAGTACCTGGATCTGTCCCTCCCTCTGGTCCAGTACTCTCAGGTGGACTCCTCGTCCTCCGATCATTCCTCAAACTCCACATAGACGTCCCGAGACGACCACTTCTTGTTTTTCTTTCTTTGTCTCTCCTGGATCACCTTGGATCCTGAATCTGGGCGGGAGGCCCGGGCGAGCTGCTTCTCTGTCAGCGGCGGCCTGATGTGAAGAACAGCTGGACTGAGCTGGATCCTCAGCGAGGCCAACACACACACACACACACACACACACACACACACACACACACACACACACACACACCAGCCTCTGATGGACTGTGAGAGCTGGTTACTTCCTGTTCAGAGCTTCAGCTCATAACGATGATGTCAGTGTGAATATTGTAAATAATATTTGTATTCAGAACAAACTGGATTTATAAGAAAAGTCTGAAATGATAAAAAGATTCTTTATAACAGTCATAAGAGGAAAACCGTCTGGAAGTGTTTACCCAGCTGTTGCTTTTAACCCATTAATTTATTGTTTTGATGTCATGTGATGTCATGTGATGTCATGTGGAGTCATGTGGTGTCATGTGATGTCATGTGATGTCATGTGATGTCATGTGATGTCATGTGGTGTCATGTGATGTCATGTGATGTCATGTGATGTCATGTGGTGTCATGTGGTGTCATGTGGTGTCATGTGATGTCATGTGATGTCATGTGATGTCATGTGATGTCATGTGATGTCATGTGGAGTCATGTGGTGTCATGTGGTGTCATGTGATGTCATGTGATGTCATGTGGTGTCATGTGGTGTCATGTGATGTCATGTGATGTCATGTGATGTCATGTGGTGTCATGTGATGTCATGTGATGTCATGTGGTGTCATGTGATGTCATGTGGAGTCATGTGATGTCATGTGGAGTCATGTGATGTCATGTGATGTCATGTGATGTCATGTGATGTCATGTGGTGTCATGTGGAGTCATGTGATGTCATGTGATGTCATGTGATGTCATGTGATGTCATGTGGTGTCATGTGGTGTCATGTGGTGTCATGTGATGTCATGTGGTGTCATGTGATGTCATGTGGAGTCATGTGATGTCATGTGGAGTCATGTGATGTCATGTGATGTCATGTGATGTCATGTGATGTCATGTGGGTCATGTGATGTCATGTGGAGTCATGTGATGTCATGTGATGTCATGTGATGTCATGTGATGTCATGTGATGTCATGTGGTGTCATGTGATGTCATGTGATGTCATGTGGTGTCATGTGATGTCATGTGGTGTCATGTGATGTCATGTGGTGTCATGTGGTGTCATGTGGTGTCATGTGATGTCATGTGGAGTCATGTGATGTCATGTGATGTCATGTGATGTCATGTGATGTCATGTGGTGTCATGTGATGTCATGTGGAGTCATGTGGTGTCATGTGGTGTCATGTGGTGTCATGTGGTGTCATGTGATGTCATGTGGAGTCATGTGATGTCATGTGATGTCATGTGATGTCATGTGATGTCATGTGATGTCATGTGATGTCATGTGATGTCATGTGGAGTCATGTGATGTCATGTGATGTCATGTGATGTCATGTGATGTCATGTGGTGTCATGTGATGTCATGTGGAGTCATGTGATGTCATGTGGAGTCATGTGATGTCATGTGATGTCATGTGATGTCATGTGGTGTCATGTGATGTCATGTGATGTCATGTGATGTCATGTGGTGTCATGTGGAGTCATGTGATGTCATGTGATGTCATGTGATGTCATGTGGTGTCATGTGATGTCATGTGGAGTCATGTGATGTCATGTGATGTCATGTGATGTCATGTGGAGTCATGTGATGTCATGTGGAGTCATGTGATGTCATGTGATGTCATGTGATGTCATGTGATGTCATGTGGTGTCATGTGATGTCATGTGGAGTCATGTGATGTCATGTGATGTCATGTGGAGTCATGTGATGTCATGTGATGTCATGTGGTGTCATGTGATGTCATGTGATGTCATGTGGTGTCATGTGGTGTCATGTGATGTCATGTGATGTCATGTGATGTCATGTGGTGTCATGTGATGTCATGTGATGTCATGTGATGTCATGTGATGTCATGTGATGTCATGTGGTGTCATGTGGTGTCATGTGGTGTCATGTGATGTCATGTGATGTCATGTGGTGTCATGTGGTGTCATGTGATGTCATGTGATGTCATGTGATGTCATGTGATGTCATGTGATGTCATGTGGAGTTTTGCACTTATCCTGAGTTCAGCCCGACGTTTTCTCTCAAAGCTTTCAATGTGTAAACTAAGTGAACGTATTAAACCTTCAGACTGTTGACCTCCTCGTGTTGTTTGTGTTTGAATGCAGAAGGATGTAGAGCACAGGAAGTGTTTGTAGTCTGAGCTGTGTCGACCAATCACAGATCAGCAGGTGTAATGTTTAAAGTTGTGTGGCTGAATGTGTCGGACTCTGTTGCTTCAGCAGCCATCTTGGATTTCCACAGCCTCTTTTTACGTCATGTCTCGCCTCCTGAGACCCCCCTCCTCCTGAGACCCCCCCCTCCTCCTGTGACCCCCCCTCCTCCTGAGACCCCCCCTCCTCCTGTGACCCCCCCCTCCTCCTGAGACCCCCCCTCCTCCTGTGACCCCCCCCTCCTCCTGAGACCCCCTCCTCCTCCTGAGACCCCCCTCCTCCTGTGACCCCCCCTCCTCCTGAGACCCCCCCTCCTCCTGTGACCCCCCTCCTCCTCCTGTGACCCCCCCTCCTCCTGAGACCCCCCTCCTCCTGTGACCCCCCCCCTCCTCCTGAGACCCCCTCCTCCTGAGACCCCCCCTCCTCCTGAGACCCCCCCTCCTCCTGTGACCCCCCCTCCTCCTGAGACCCCCCCTCCTCCTGTGACCCCCTCCTCCTGAGACCCCCCTCCTCCTGAGACCCCCCCCTCCTCCTGTGACCCCCCTCCTCCTGAGACCCCCCTCCTCCTGAGACCCCCCCTCCTCCTGTGACCCCCCCTCCTCCTGAGACCCCCCCTCCTCCTGAGACCCCCCTCCTCCTGTGACCCCCCCCCTCCTGAGACCCCTCCTCCTGTGACCCCCCCCTCCTCCTGAGACCCCCTCCTCCTGAGACCCCCCCTCCTCCTGTGACCCCCCTCCTCCTGTGACCCCCCTCCTCCTGTGACCCCCCTCCTCCTCCTGTGACCCCCTCCTCCTGTGACCCCCCCTCCTCCCCCCTCCTCCTGTGACCCCCTCCTCCTGTGACCCTCCTCCTCCCCCCTCCTCCTGAGACCCCCTCCTCCTGTGACCCCCCCTCCTCCTGAGACCCCCTCCTCCTGTGACCCCCCCTCCTCCTGAGACCCCCCTCCTCCTGTGACCCCCCTCCCCCCCTCCTCCTGTGACCTAAGCGAAAATAAAACAACGACTCCAACAGGAAGAACATGTTCAATACGAGCTCTGAACGAAAACAGATGGATTACAGGAAGAGGAGTTCAGGGCCTCTGCATCATCCATCACACACACACACACACACCACACACACACACACACACACACACACACACACACACACACACACACACACACACACACACAGACACACAGAGAAAAGTTGGTCCTGCTGGTTTTGTTAGAACTTGTTTTTCATGCAAACATTAATTTAAATCTTCTCAAACTGCAGAGCAGAAGAATAACGACGTGGAGAATATTTAAACGTGACTTTAATCACAAATGTCACCTGTAGATAAACATGAAGGTAAAGTGGCTAATAGGTAACCAGGGGACCTCGACCTCAGTCCACCTTAAAGATCAGTCCACCTTAAGTGAGACTGATCAGGTGTAGCTCGTTGAGCAGGAGACCTGTGGGGCTGCAGGAATCTCCTCCTGTGTCAAAAGAGCTTAATAAAGCAGTTTGAATTCATCCAGGATTCTTTTAAAGTCTTTAAATGTGATTTTTTACACTTAAATATAAATCAAGTCTATCCTCTGAAAATAACTCTGTGAGTCATGACTGTCTACAATGGGTGTAACACCCGAGTCCCACTGTCTCTGATGTTTTCAGAGTTTTCAGAGTCCTATCTTCACTTTGTTTACATCGCCCGGACGGCCGGCTGACTCCTCCCCTCGTGTATAAAAGTTGTTTAATTGAGGGACTAGAGAAAAGAAGAATAACATACTGTACTCACTGCTTAACTGTGTTTCTAGATCACGCTCATTTCAGGTCAATTTACATGCAGTGTGAAGATACCAGCAGAATAAAGATCGCTAGCATTAGCATGCTAACACAACAATGCAGCGCCAGTTGTTTTGGTTTCATGCTGGTGCTCAAAGGCGACATCTGCTGGATCAAAACATCACATATAAAGCCTTTAAATACACGTAAGCTCCTCTTCTGGAGGTTTGTCTCACCCGGTTCTGGGTTCACTTGAGGTCAGATCATGAAACGGGGACGATCTTTGTCGCACACTTTGAATTGAAGTTGTGAATGAAGCAGATCAAACAGAAACTTTCTGCTCTTCAGTCCAAACATGCAAAGTGACTAAAAGCTTCCAGCTCTTTCTTTCTCCTCCCTCCGGCTCGTGCTCTCACATCTGTTACACATCGTCATAGTAATGCTTCCTTTTTTGTTTGTGATTCTTGGAGATGGAGGTTGTAAACGGCTGCCCCCCCCCCCCGCTCCAGAGGATGTAAAGAGCCCTTCTCACCCCACCTGATGGGGCTTAATGGGCCGTGACACTGAGGTGACAAAGACGTTATGGGTCAGCTATTAGCTCCTGTGACAGATGGTGGAGTGTCACTTCCCCCCCTCCCTCCCCCAACACCGGGCAGCGTTCACACCTTCTGATTTCCTAAAGAAGTCTAAAAGGAAAGTTTGAAATTGAAGTGAAAGTAGAGAAATCTAAGTTATCAGTTTAATTATCAGTTTAATTATCAGTTTATTTATCAGTTTAATTATCAGTTTAATTATCAGTTTATTTATCAGTTTATTTATTTATCAGTTTATTTATCAGTTTATTTATCAGTTTAATTATCAGTTTATTTATTTATCAGTTTATTTATCAGTTTATTTATTTATCAGTTTATTTATTTATCAGTTTAATTATCAGTTTAATTATCAGTTTAATTATCAGTTTATTTATCAGTTTAATTATCAGTTTAATTATCAGTTTATTTATCAGTTTAATTATCAGTTTAATTATCAGTTTATTTATCAGTTTAATTATCAGTTTATTTATTTATCAGTTTATTTATCAGTTTAATTATCAGTTTATTTATCAGTTTATTTATTTATCAGTTTATTTATCAGTTTAATTATCAGTTTATTTAATTATCAGTTTATTTATCAGTTTGTTTATTTATCAGTTTATTTATCAGTTTAATTATCAGTTTATTTATTTATCAGTTTATTTATTTATCAGTTTATTTATCAGTTTATTTATTTATCAGTTTATTTATCAGTTTAATTATCAGTTTATTAATTTATCAGTTTATTTATTTATCAGTTTAATTATCAGTTTATTTATTTATCAGTTTATTTATCAGTTTATTTATCAGTTTATTTATTTATCAGTTTATTTATTTATCAGTTTATTTAT